TTGTCTTTCCTACCTTTGTTTTCCCCACTTTTCCCCCCTTCTCTTCCCTTTCCCTCTTTCCTCTCTCAAACTTTCCTTTCTTTCCCTCTTGGCTTACGCCAAGACTGGTGCGTCTCTTTGTTGTATATAATTTATAGCTGTGTTGTTGTCTTTTTTTAAAAAAAGTAAAATTAATAAAGTTTATTTAAAAAAAAAAAAAAGAAAAATGGCAAGTCCAGCAATAATTGAGGCATAAAGAAAATCTGTTGCTGAAAACTGGTATCTCTGGAAAGAGATGAAAATATTTACCTTGGATGCTATATTAGGCTTAATTATTGCTTTACTATATTGTACTACTGTTTCTTTGTCTTTTTCATATTATCTGTACAAGATAGGAAATGTGTATTCATTCATAGCAATAGCACTTAGACCTGTATATAGACTTGGACTGTGTACAGACAGGAGGTTATACAACTTGCCTCGTGCTGTAACCGGAACAATCTAGAACTAAACACACTCAAAACCATAGAAATGGTGGAAGACTTTAGAAGAAATTCTCCCATACTACCACCTCTTACAATACTAGACAACACAGTATCAACAATAGAGACCTTCAAATTTCTCGGTTCTATATCACATGACCTAAAATGGACACCTAACATCAAAAACATCATCAAAAAAGCACAACAAAGAATGTTCTCTCTGCGCCAACTCAGAAAGCTCAAACTGCCCAAGGAACTGCTGGTACAGTTCTACAGAGGAATTATTGAGTCTATCATCTGCACTTCTATAATTGTCTGGTTTGGTTCTGCAACCCAACAGGACAGACACAGACTTCAGAGGATAATTAGGACTGCAGAAAAAACAATTACTACCCACCTGCCTTCAATCAAGGACTTGTATACTGCACAAGTCAAAAAGAGGGCTGTAAAAATATTACAGACCCCCTCACATTCCGGACATAAACTGTTTCAATTCCTTCCCTCAAAACGACGCTATAGAGCACTGCACACCAGAACAACTAGACACAAGAACAGTTTTTTTCCAGAAAGCCATCACTCTGCTAAACAAATATTTCCCTCAACAGTGTTCAACTATTTACAAAGTGTACACTACCATTACTGTTAATCTTCTCATCACTCCTTATCACCCATCCCCTCCCACTTGTGATTGTAGGACTGTAACTTTGTTGGTTGTATCCTTACAATTTATATTGACTGTTTCCTAGTATGATTTGATTGTTGATTGTACCCTATGACTATCATTAAGTGTTGTACGTTGTAATTCTTGCTTCTTAATGAATGTACCTTTTCTTTATATATATTGAGAGTATTTAAAACCAAGACAAATTCCTTGTGTGTCCAATCACACTTGGCCAATAAACTATTCTAGTCTAGTCTAGTCTAGTCTAGTCTATACAGTGATTTACAGCCCTAAGCAGTTTACAGAATCAGCATATTGCCCCCAACAATCAGGGTGCTCATTTTACCAACCTTGGAAGGATGGAAGGCCGAGTCAACCTTAAGTCAGTGATAGCAGTCAGCAGAAGTACTATAGCCTGCAGTACTGCATTCTAACCACTGTGCCACCACAGCTCTTAATATTAAGCTAAAATATTTCTGTACAGTAATCACTTGCATTCTGAAATACTGAACTTACTTCTGTTCCAAACTGTTTAAGAGGCTTTGTCCCATTTATAGCAGACATTGCCATCTTGTGCTATCCCTGAAGCATCTCCTTTGCATGTCCTGTTGTATTGTATTGTCATTATTCTATTAAGCTAAAATCCTGATAATGGCAAGTCTGCATTTCCTTCCTCTGCGTGTAATCATTTGTTTCCAAAACACAGAGTTACTGTGTCTTAAAATCTAAAGTCAAAAAGATGGAATATACTTTTCTTTCTTTTTATAAAGTTTGATTTTTTTTTATCTCTAATAGGATTGTTGTATCTCCCAAAAAGAAGACAATCTCTAGTGACCTACCTCTAAGCTAGATAGCCGTGAAGTTGTACTACATAAATTATTTCATCCTTTTACATTTTTATCACCAGAAAAGGAGTTTAAATTGCAGGCACCCTGACTAATAAACAGACACTAATGTGCTTTGGAAGTTGCAGCAGGAAATACCATGTTGCTAAATCAGAACAGAAGTCATGAAGATACAGAGGGTATCGGAGAGAGGAGGTCTGAAGTCTCCAGCTTTCCAAACTCTAAACTTGTTTGAGGTCCTAAAGGGAAGGCAGGATATAAACTAACATCTATGTACCTTAAAGTATTTATTACCAGTTTTGGTATATACCTAGTTGTGGTAATATGTGAATGGAACTAATAGCTTGAGCAAATTACCCCTGGCTCCCCTAACATCATACTTAATACAGTACAGTAATTATTGTACAGATATTATTGTAATCTCATTTGAAAATAGTTTGAAAATTTGAATATAGAGTCAGAACTAGTCTTAAATTATATTATCATATTTTGCCATATCCACTGACTTTCAGTTCATTTAATTATACTTTATAACTTTTTCATGCCATGTGACAAAGTTATGTGAAGACAAACTCTAATAAAAACCTTACACATAACCTGTCACTTTGTAATGTTTCAGTCTAATTCCCACAACCCCTTCCATTATCCATGTTGGTCTGGAACACCTGTAGCACCAGCTTGCTTATTCTTGAATTTTATTGTATGCTCCAAATGTCCTCATCAAATATAAGACATCCTCCTTATGAAATAATTATTGTGACCATTCCATATTTTGTAGGCCTATATTAAACTAAAGATGAGAAAATATGTTTATGCTGCAATCATGTAGTGTTTATTTTTAAAGCTGGATCTTAATGTGGACACCATTTGATCTCATCATATAAAACAAATATAGTTAAAATCAATAAAACTCTGGCACTAGAGAAAGGCCAAAGATTAACCTGACAAAATTATGTAGAACAGTTTTTCCTACCAATATTGGCTCAATTTCCAAAATGCCTTACAAGAACTGGATTAGCAAAAGTTGCCATTCAGAGCAATTATTAAAGACAGTATCATTTACACAGAGTTTCTGTTCATTTAAGATCTTTGCCTATAAAGCATTTTTCAAGACCAGGTTGTTAAATAGAATCTTTGCCAGTTCAGAGTCTCACAGGAGCCCAATAAATTTTAGAATTCAAATGTCAGTATTAGGGAGCAACTGTTAAGAAAATAAATGCATAATTCAACTGACATATGTTCACCTGGAAATATGCATTCATATCATTATGTAATAAAAATGGCAGATATGCAGAATATTATTCCAAAATTACAAATTTAAATAATTAAAAAAATGTTTTTAGAAGACAATGCTATTGCCGCTGCTAAAAAATTTTGCTGCAGATTTACTCACTGTTTCTGACCCTGCTGCTTATTAGGTAGTTATTTGTAAAATGGGACAACCTGTTACGTAAGAAAGAAGCTCCTAAATCAAGGCCAGTCACTGACTTGGTTGTCACTATTCATCCCATTAATAATCTTTTTCAGAACTTCCCATATTATAGCAGTCATCTCCTTATACCTACTTAGAAACCCTAGAGTCATTCATTCAGCCATGATTTACAGATCCTTTTAGCTGCTTTAAACTCAGCACTGTTTTCTACTGACCAGCTAGCTTGCAAATACTTCATCCCTCCTATGGTTCTGAAACAGCCTGATGGTGCAGATGGAGGAATACCAGAGCAACAGCAACCCTCCAATACTACCATATGTTGATTAACCCCAAGAATCTTTCATTAGTTGACACCTCTCAGTGAAAGTGGATTGGTCTACAAAAAGGTAGGATAGTAGGGGTGATATGTACTGAAACTGAATTAATGTATGAGAATGGTACCAGTCGGGTGTTCTCTTATCATTCTTTGATTCCCACACTTCATTTGTATGACTTCTAATTCCACATGCTCATTAGGGGGCGTGCATAAGCGCACCAACGTGCCTACCGTTCCTGTCCTATTGTTTCTTATATATATTTTTTTTCTTATATGTATCCATGTATTCATAACTATGTTTTTACTTATACCTATTATCTTGTAAGCAATTGACAAATAAAAATAAAATGTTTTGTATTTTCATATGTAATAAATCAAGGTATGAAACAGGATAATGATTTCTCCTTTATTTTTTTTATAATGAAGATAAAAGAGAAAGTTTGGTGTAATGGTTAAGGTATCAGGTTAAAAACCAGGAAACTCTTGCCTTGGGAACAAAGTTGGGTGACCTTGGGCCAGGCACACTCTCAGTACAAAAAGGGCAAACAACTTCTGAAATCTCACACACAAAAAATGCAGGGACTAGTCTAGGCAGACTCCAGGAGTCAATACTACTGTGAAGGCACGTGCAAACCAAAATTGGAGTGTGGGTTTATGATCCTATAAATAAACATATCATATGCCTAGGCCTAACATTCAGTTTATGCGAATGAAACAAAATTATGTTCTCACAGACCAAAAATACCATGCTATAATTCTGTAACTTCAACCGGATTTGACTCTTGCACATACTGACTTGTTTCTGGTTATTCAGTATGCTGGGTCAAAAGTACAGAAAAAGTATTCACAAATGTCAGTAATATTTTATTTAACTTGCTACTGGTGTATTAAATATAGTCTAGTAATTATTATTAAACATAATAGAATTACTGTTACATTTTCCAAATAAGGGTCAATTTTTCCAGCCTCCCTTTGTACTATAAATCTTCCTTTCAACTTTTCAGATTACCTTTTGTCCTTCTGAAAATTAATTACCAGAAACTCCTCTGGATTTTAGACTTGCTACATTTGAAACATTGAGCTATTATATTCTTCTTTATTAGCATGAGAGAAAACATTCAGGACATGTTCACAGATACTATTAATATGTTTAAGACAAATACTGGCAGTGACTAAATGCAATTCTGGCAGAGTTAAGTGCTCTGTATAGAAATTATATTGTCTGCTGGAAGAATTGCTTTCATATTTTTCTCACACAATGCCTTGATTCTTTGTTGTTTTGCAGGTGATCCATATAACAGGAAGGTTACGACTAAGAGTTTCGCTGTCTCATGGGCGGACCGTCCCGAGCCAAATCATGGGGCTTGTTGTCGTTGCGCATGCCCTACCCCCTCCTACAATCAATGAAGTCAGAATTGACTGCCACATGTTTGTTACTCGAGTAAACATGGACCTCAATATTATTTACTGTGAAAATAGGTATTGCATTTGGGCTATTTTGTGTTGTTCTTTCAGAGTGCCATACTGAAATATACATTTTTGGGCTAGAGCATTTGTTTCATACGACAATAATAATAATGCAGATGTATGTGTTCCTCTGATCAGTACGCAGAAAGTGAGAGCTTCATTTTGAGATTTGGAAAACTGAACTAGAATCTGATTGACTGATAGTTGCCTAGGGAGTTAACTAGAAAGAAAAATCACAATTTAAATGTTAGTTTTCTGACTGCAAAATTCCTCTGATACTCTTCGGATTAGCATTTCCCCACAATGGAATGCTAATACTCTGGAGAGTAGAGATGAGAGTGAATGAGGAAAATAAAGAATCGATTTCTCCCACCGTACAGTGTATGCAACCTCTATTCAGGCAAACATATACTGTATATAATTTCAGAATTTCTCCTAAAGCAGGAGAAATCTTTGTCCTGAGAATCTTTTCCTTGGAGCCAACAGAATGTTTCCGGGATCTTAAATTTCCTCTCAGAACTGATTCAGTAATACACCATCCTCTGTTTCTCACTGCCACTCCTAGGAAGCAACAATGAGAAATATTAGTACTGATTGTAAATTTGGAAAAGCCACACTGCTTTTCTTGTTCACAGCTCAGTTTAATTTTAAAAAATGGGAACAGGCAGGACAGAATGAGAATATGGATATACTGCAGATGTTTTAAATTGTATTTAACCAGTTGCAAAATATTACTAATTTTTTTTTCCATACAAGCTTGCTTTTATTTTCCCTATTAAGACTGAAAATGCTGGCAATAACAGTTTAGCCCAATGAATTCCACATCTTTTGCTTTACTGAACCTTTCAAGAAACAGCCTTAGGTCAGTGGATATGTATGTTTGATTATATTGACGGAAGCAGAAGTATTGCCTTTGAAAAGATGATTTGGTATATCAGAGTAATAGGAATGTCTTTAGTACAAGCAAAAATTGTTTGCAAATGAAGTCACAGGATAATATTGCAGGATCCAATCTGGGTCAGTCACTGGGACCAGAGGTTTTGTCTTCTGAGCTTTCAGACTCCTGCTGGAGCCCATCTTCAGGGAACTTCTCTCTAGCAGAGTGTTGTATTTGTGCGGTATTTATAGTGCCTGTTGTAAGTGGCTTTTTAGATGTTGATTGAGGTGTGTTGATGTCTGGTTTTTAAGTCATTAGCTGTTGTTAGCTTGTGCTGCCCAGCCTTGCCTCTAAGTACTAGATAGGCTTGTGGTAAATCAGCAATCCTATTAACTAATGAGGGACCTGTTTCTCAGACTTCAATTACTTCCCTGGCTATTGTTGTGCCTGCTTATCCAACAATGTTGGTACCTGCAAAATTGAATGTGTGTCCTTGTTCATTGCAATGCGAGGCTACCAATGAGTTTGGGTCTTCTTGTCTGACCATTCATGTCTATTCTGGCAAGCTGGTAATTATCCATGCAAGGGGATTGGTAGATTACATTGGAAGTATCTTCCACCTTCAACTGATCTTTGCAATGCATAATTTGTCCTCATATGGCAGACTCTGGGCAGTGTGCATGCCTACATACAGATCTCGGAAGCTGTGTTCTACAGCTTCTGAAATATTTTTGATGTATGGCAGGGTGTGGCATTATGCTTGAATTGTTCATGTAGGTACCTGCTCTCCAGCTGCTTGACTTGCTGGGCACTACAGTGGGTTCTTACCCTGCCATATAATGCAACTCTTTTTGTGTGAAGTGGATGGTTTCTGTTGAAATTCAGCAAGCATGGTGTGTTGGTGGCCTTGCGATAAACTGGTTTGTAGGCTCCCATCCTCGTCTGTTGAAAAGTACGTCTAAAAATGACAGTGTAGATGTACTTGTCAACAGACAAGAGGATGGAAGCCTAGAAACCACAGTTTATTGCAAGGCCACCAATGTAAGGATCTCCAACATAAAATGCATAAAACTTTTAGAAAATCTGAGTTACTTGTAGAAATTTCAAAATAATCATTTTCCATTTCTTAGTAACAATGGAGATCAGCCTCTTTAAAGAGAATCTGAAGATAGTGAAATGTACGGTTACCTTATTCTCATGACCACCCAAATACAATGAATACTTATTGGGGGGGCAAGTTGTATCTTTGGTTCCAATCCCTGATCTACATGCATGTATTTGGTCATGTGAACAATCCTGTGCATTCAAAATAGATACACATTTGGCACCTTTACCAATGGGCACAAGATCCATTCATTTGAGGAACCACAATCCTGTTCCCCTCTTTCTAATTCCCTATTTATGAATATGTTATATAAATGCAAGTGTAGTCTTTCAGCATGCAACCTGTAAAAGTGTCATCTTGCCTTAAAATATTCAATGCAACCATTTATGAATGGCTTTTCTACATGCTTGCAACAGATCAGATAAGTGGCTGTGCTGAAAAGGATGAGCAGTGAATCAGCAGAACTCAGTGTAATGAATGAAATCACATGCTCATGAGCTCTATTTGTAATGAATTGTCAGTGTTATCATATCAATCTTCAGCTGGTTCAATTAAGTGTACAGAGTCATAATACCTTAACACAGTAGAGTCTAAATTAATATATTAATCAAATGCAAGAATATCCTGAATTCACGTACTAGAAAGATGACCATCAGCTTTACAGGCATGATAGAAAGTATTTGTATCATATAAATATATAATATAATATCACAGTATTTCAGCCCAGCCCTTCTCACCTAGAAAACTGTTATTTAGTCAACAAGAAGAAAATGTGTTCAATAGTGATTCTTCTTTTAGATCAAGGACTCCTTTGAGACATCCATCTTAGAAAAATGCACATAAATACACACATATAAGATTGATTTCTTTATACTACACTCGAAAAATCCACAACTTCCTTACCTACTCAACATCAAGTATTATTACTAAGCCATACTATAGTAGGAAGTCTGGATGAATGCAATTATTATCAATACTTGGAAAGATTAAATTGGCATCTTAAAATTTAGTCTGACTTGGTGAAAACAAAGACAGTTATCCTTAGTCTTAATGATAGTACACATTTTCTTTAATTCCTATCAACCTTAATTCCTACCATCAGTTCTTCTAGATGTCCTAATACTGCAATGATGTCCATTATTTTGCTTGCCAATGAACAGTATTTGGCCTACACTTGTTTGGGGAGAAGCAGTTTCCTAAAAGCATTATTTGGCATTTTTTCCCACAGAAAAAAAAAAATCAAGTAATAGGAAGGAAATTGAAGAAAAAAACTGAGAATCTTTTGTACTTGATTTGTCAGACCCCCTGAAATTTATCCTTGGAACCCCGATTTAGGAACCACAGGTTCAAAAACTTTGGTATATACGAAGACTCCACCCTATAAACAGTAACCTCAAATATTGCAGAGAATACAAGGGAGATATAGTAGGCCCTGCCTCTTTTCCATGATACAGGGAATAAAATGGAGGTATAGCTGACCTCCATTTTATGCAGATTGTTCCCAACTTCTGATCCTTTACATCTGTCTGTCCCCATTAACAATTTAGTTTTAGTTTTAGCTTTAGTTCCAAAATGGAAACATTCCATTTATCTATTCCGGAGAAAGAAACTAGAGGTAGCACATTTTCTGTTTTTTATCAAGGAGTGAGAACCTGACAGGTGGTTCCCTAATTTGCTACATTTTTAAAAAAAAAATCATATTAAGTTCTTATTATCTCTTAAGAGTGACTCTGGAGACTGGCTCTATGCCATCGCTCTGAGTGTGTGAACCCTACGTGTACTCTGATACCTCTGCTATTCAAGGACAAACTTGCAAAGAATTTTCTCAGAACCCGAGTCACAAAAGATCCTTATATAGTCCCAATATATTTTTGTGAGCATTAGAACATTATTTTAAAAACATACCAAAGAGTTACATCTTCCAAACAAAAGGAAGAACCCAGCTGTCCAGGTTAATTCACCCTCCCAATTTTCAATTTGAGAGGATTTTTTTTAACACGGATGCCTGAGGACATTGACATCTGGACAATCAATAAGAGGAATGCACATACAGAGGGAAGCAGAGCAGAGCATAGAGCAGGAAAGGCTACTGAAAGGATTTTAAAGTTTTTGCGCAGAGTAAACCACAAAGTCCCAGTTAAAAGAGCTAGGAGTGAAAGCAGAGCTCCCAGCTGAATAAGACTAAAAAAGATAACACCCTCAGGCATCTGTATGTCTCAGCATTTAAATTATATTGCTTGAAATGTCAGTTTGGACTCTGTGCCTGGAAACAGTTGAAGAGCCTTTTTTCATGAATATGCTCAATAGAAGACCAATCTGCTGAAATGAAAGATGTCTCTAATCATTTTGCATAAGCATAACATGTTCTTATTTTATTGTATAACCTTGAATTATCTTGCTCTTTTAATCAGGAGCTTAGTATTTTAAGGAATTCTTTATCTTTGTGGATGTTGTTAAATATGGACCTATAGACAATTTGAGATTGCATTGAGAGCAAAGAGAGCCAAACTGGCCTAAGGTGCTAGAGTGGGATTGCTGGCTAATTTTGGGTCGGTCATTCTCTCTCAGTCCTGGGAAGTAAAGACAACCAAATAAAAACAGCAGTAAACCACATAATAATCACCCATATAAACACCAGGAGTCAAGACCTACTCACATACATGCATACACAAACACATAAAAGAAAACAGAGCAAGAATGTTACGGATGGGCTATAGGTTTCTTTTTTTAGAATTAAATATAGGGTTTTATTCTTGGCAGATAAAACTAAATTATGGGTTGGCGTTAATTCTACCTTCTGAGGCAATACAACAAAATAATATAAAATACTCATAAAGAGGATCATTTTTAGGACAGATATACAAGTTTGGGATCAGAATGGAAAGCATTTCATTGTTGTTTTATTTTCTTCCTTTCTCGGTTTATAGGCTTTATTTTTCCTTTACAGGATTAGCGATTACATGGATCTGACCCCTGTAGATATTGTAGGGAAAAGATGTTACCACTTCATTCATGCTGAAGATGTGGAAGGGATCAGGCACAGTCATTTAGACTGTAAGTACTGTGTTATTATAAAAAATGTCACCTTACTGTTACAGTGTGCAACTGAACTAATTCTTGTATTCCATTCTGTGGACCTCTGTATTCTCTCTTTGACTTTGCAGGTGATTTAGATATAACATACATATTTTCCTCTGTCGCTAAAGGCAATTGGTGAATGTTCAAATGTGAGCCATGATAAATTCAAATCGAACTGTAACTGTGATCACATAATGTGCAGAGGTTGTTTTTGTGCATGGGAAGTTTTGAAATAAAAATGGAAGTTGGGGAGCCATCTGTTCATGTGACAAAGCATAAGTGTAGTAATTAATTCTGTTGACATGTTAAAAGTTACCTTAATATGGGATAGATCCAAAACCCAGTGTGGTTAGAGCAGGTCATCAGAATAGAACAATATTTAATATTGTCCTATCTGAGGATGGAGAGGGTACAGCAAAACTGTCCCCAGTTTTGTGATCAAAGCAGGTAAATGAATCATGATGCAGGTCCTGCCTCTTATATACTTACATATAGCGTTGTGATGCAGAAACTAAGGGCGCAGGTTTACCCTGTGATGTCACAGTGCATGGCTGACCTTGTTTGCCAATCATAAGTGGTCCACCTATCATTAAGCAGCAAATACTTTTGCCTTGATACCCTCTACAATTATCCATTAGGCAAGTTGGCCACTGAGGAAGGAAAGAGCTACTGCTATTGTTAAGCCTGGGAAACATAACATGGGAAACATGGATGGGTGCTGAATTTATTTATTGCCAGTCTCTTGGGGCTCAAGGAAAATCAACACATTTGCTTTCATATTCATGGACTGGAAATGGTGAATGTTCAAAGCATTCTACCTCTGCCCTCAAGTATGTCTCAGTTATGTTACCTACTTCCATTCTGGTATGCTTCCTATGGCTTTGGTGCTAATTGATTAGTGCACACAAAAATTATGCAATATTGTAATTATCATAACTCTTAACTCTTTTACTTATCCTTCTGAACTCAAACATGTTTCTTGCCTAAGTAAAATATAACCTATCCATTTTCACACAGATTCTCAGAAAGAAGCCCATCAAGATAGGGAAAGAAACAAATTAATTCTTTCCTGATTTAAAAAAAAACTCTTCTTCCACTAAGCCCAGATTTTTCTATCTGAAATCTTGAAAGTTTGTTAGATAAGGCTAACTGCCATGTAGGCCAATTTCCTAATAAATATTAGGATCTGTTAGAAACAAGAAATATGAAAGCATGATTCCATTAGGAAAGGCAAATTTGCCTACCAATGTAATAAATATCTTCCTTTATAAAAACAATCCAGCAATTTTCTAATTTAAAAAAAACAACCTGCAGTCACAAACTTTGTTGAATCTGTTTGAGTGGAGTTTAATCATGCACTCAGAAACTTGTTGTTGAAAAGTTCATCCAATTCCGTCAAAGTAAAAAGAAATCATTGCTGACTGTGGGAAATAGAAAGACTTCAATACAGCTTCTGAATTTAGCAAAATAAAACATTTTCAGAATTACCAAATCAGAGTCTGACTCAATCGTGTGTATATGCTTAAAGGATTTTTTAAATTGAGATTTATTATTGAAATTGATAACCCCAGTTTCTGATCCATCTAATTAACAGCTAATTATCTTAGTTAATACCTGATCAATCAAATTTTCCTAATCAAATTTGCATCAGAAACCATATTTAATAAATAAATAGCACATAATGTTTTAAATAATTTTCTCTAAATCTGTGTTTTAAAGGCTTATATTCTGCTGATGATCATTGTTCATGCTTCTATTCTTCTAACATAACTAAATAAATGAATTGGGATTTACTCTGAGAAACTACTCTGGAATAAGCTATTTTAAAGATTGGGTCCTTATCATCTACTCCATGTAAAGAGTCCACTTCAATCTCCTTTTAATTCTACACACCAATATCAGAAAAAGAGGAGGGGAAGTAATAAATATATTTCTTTCCACTAATATATGAAAACTCTATTCTAACCCTATTTGGGTATTGGGTGACATTGTTGCCTTGTTTTGATTTAGCAAGTCCATTTACTACTCAAAAAATAAAAGGTTGTCACATAATATAGAAGCATATATCTCTTCAATTAATTGAAAAAAAAAATAGTAACATTCACTGAAGAATGATATCAAACGTTTTCTGACTGGAAATCCAAGCAGGATGTAAAGGAGTTAAGACCTCTAGAGAATGTCATGAATATACTTCTGGACAAATATCGGATGATATACCAGGATTTTCAAAATGGATATATATTGCTTTTGGGAACTGTCACTCGATTGTGTAGCTACAGATAGAGTATGCGCTTTTTCATTTTGGAATCTTAATTGAGGTCTAAATTCATAAACCTGACACTGACAAAAAGATGCTTGTCACCCTCAGCTATTGTTCAGAAAACGTCATCCCATTTCTTCTGGACTTGATTTACAGCCATAAGAAATACAATTCCTTAAGAACAGCAGCCCAAGCAGTTTGTTTTCCATAAAGCAAAGGTCTCTGATGACTACATTTGGGAGCATTCTCTCTTATATGCACTAATTTAGTTTCCAATAGCTGAAACAATCCAGTATTTTTTAAAGCAGCTTTACTATCACTTTATTCATGCTATTCCCCATTTTCAAAAGGATTTTGCCCTTCAATATTGAGACTTTTTTTCCCCCTCTGCAGTCAGTTACAAATACACAATGGCTTTTGTGTACATTCATTTGAAAATTTCTATTCAGTTATTACTATTTGCTGGTTCAATTTCCAAGATAAAAAAACAGTCTTTTTAAGTTATACCTCTCTGTATATAGATACAGACATGGACACATATTTAAAGGAATGTATATCTTTTAATAATCTTAAATTTACTATTTAAAATAGATGGAGTCATTCTTGGTCATTCTCGACAGCAAAACCTCACTTCACAAGTTTTGCTATTATAATAGGGAAAAATTACACAAAGTCAAGTAATACACAATTAGTAAAACTGTAGGGAGAAAAACAAAGCCTTTTGATACAGAGGAATTCTAATCCTAATCAGTCTGAAATTTCTGTGCTTTTGTAGTGCTTAATATCCCCAATCATGAAAGAAATCAAACTTATTCTAGTTAAGGTATAACATTCTGTGAAATGCTAAAATATACAAATTAATGTCAACTGTTGTACAAGTTGATGATAATCACCAAAGCAAAAGAGATTGCTTTGATATTATTTGATAGTATGTCTTGTGTTTAGATGATGTTTGAACATACTAATTTTAAAGCCAGCCCAACAATTGAAAAGCAAATATACATTAAAGGAGGATCATTGGCAAAAAAAAATTAGTTGCTCTGTTCAGTTAACCTGCACAGTTCAGCTCTAACATAATTTTGTAATGCCAGATGTTGCATTACTGCAGTCTAAAGTCAAAAAGCATCATGAGATATTCTTGAAACCATTTCTAGCTCCAGAGATTTTGCCATCTGAAGCAATGTCCATGTATTTCCCAAGGTATCAGTGACTGCCAGACTGAGAAGTTAGTTTTCACAGCCAAACTAACTTGCAGCCTTTGAATATACTTCTAAATAGGGACTGTTCCAAAGTTGCCCTTTGACCTCTGCAGCAAAATGAGGAATTGAATCTGATACTACCTTGCCCCAATTCACAATTCTACAATGTTCCCAGAATTGACAAACAGAATAATGAATAAACATAAATTAAGTCTAAACTTTACCAATGACAGAGTAACTAACTCAGTTCAAATATAAAAATATTTATGTCTGATTTATGTAAATTTCTAATGTCAGCCAATTTGGAAGTGCTATTTAGATAGTATTAGATGTTTTAATCTCTATCACATAATTTTAATTCTTCGCTACTTAAGTAAAAATTAGTTAATTCCCATTATGTTATAGAATGTCTTAATTTTCAATATTTGGGTCTATTAGCATGTCAAATGAGATATTATATGAATTGGATTCAGTTTAATCATGCTTAGTTAAGTCATTAAAATCAGGGACTTGAGGTTGAATATAGATTTAGTCTTACTTGGATCAGGCCCATAAAACTCAATGACATGTATTCATAATTAACTGGTGTGTCACTGTGAAAAATATGAGACTCATTGAACATGAGGAAATATAAATGTTCTAGAATATTTAAAATGCATTTTATAGAGAGACATATCCTTATTTCAAATTCTCATCTAGATTTATAACATACATACACACACACACACACACACACACACACACACACACATATATATATTCATTGAACACAATACAGAAGCCTGATGATGGCAGATGAGATTCTGCCGAAACGTTGCTACAACTTTAAAAGCACAACTATAATGATGTGGGAAAATACCCAAACAAAGCTGAATATATGTGTGTGTGTGTGTATGTGTTTTCGGGTCTTGGCGACATTTCGGTGAGGTCCGTCTCGCCATCCTCAGGCTGGTGCCTTCGGCTTCGTATATATACATATGTACATAAGCTTTTGGCTTATGTATATGTATATGTATAAAGAATAACTTTATATATACTGTATCAGAATATATGTGCAATAGTTGCAGCATCTGTTTGAACTTTTAAACATGTATATATAAAATCCTGGTGCAAAGCTCATTTAAGATTCATTCTGAACTCCATTAATTTCAGTGTAGAATCATGATCTAAAATCATATATCTGTATATACAATTCTTTCTGTTCCATTCTGAATTATTTAATGCTGAATGGAAATATGTTTTTCTTTTTTTCTTAGATATTCCAACATCTAATTATTCTATCTGACAGCATGCTCTCAAATACCTGGTATTTACATTTTATTACACATACATGCATATCCTCAACAAAGTATAATAATAATAAAACAAGACAATAACTAGAGTAAAATCACTAGTAATAATAATGAATGCAGCATATGAAATGAAGCATTCTAAACAAGACATGTGGGTGTTTTTAAAATATTTATCATATAAAGTGCATACACACATACCACACATAGTTACATTGGAATATAAAT